GATATTCTGTAAATTGCTACGAAGCGTTTGAAGAAGGGAAAAAATCTTTACAAGCTATTGTTGGAATGACTTTTGGCAGTGTCAAATTAAAAAGGAAAAACAAAGTTTTGTCTCTAAAAATGGTTCAATCTTCCGTTAAAGTAAACGGAGATATTACAGCCATCGATCCATTATTGTTATTCCAAAGAATATCGTTAACAATTGACAGTAAAAAAGATATGGAATCTTATTTACAATACCTTATCCATGGTCACTTTTTACAGAAAATGGCCTCAGAAAAAATGTTAAATCTCAACTTTACGATTTATTTGTGAGTGCAAATGGACCAACGCATTCTGACGGCATTGTACATGTCGTTGACGGTGGATTTTTACTGCACAAATTAATTTGGCAGGATTCAACTAAAAAAGGAGAACGTAGTCGTAAAAAACTTCAGAGTTTGATTATCAAAACCATACAAAAATACCATTTCTACAAGAAATTTTTTTATCGAACGAGAAAAACAAGGACAAAATAATAAAAACGTTAATGAAAAGATTACAGTCACAAGGATTTTCCTGTAAACAAGCAGAAGAAGATGCTGATGCAGACATTATTGAAACTTCGATAGAAATTGCCAGAGATACCAATAAAACTGTCATTGTTGTGGGTCAAGATATTGATCTTTTGGTCCTTTTGAATCAATTAACTTTAAATAATATGACATTTATTTTCTCAAACCAAATTCTGGAAATGTAAAAGATCTATTTTTCACGTCTAATAGTTTCAAATATGACTCCTTCAAAAATATCGTTGCATTTCTGCATTGTTTTTTCTGGTTGCGATACAACATCTGGATTTGCCGGAAAAGGAAAGAAGAGTATTGTAAATTCATTATTAGACGATAAAAATGTGTCACATTTGGCCAATATTTTTTATAAAAAAGATGCAAACAAAAAAGATATCGAAAAAAATGGATAACAATTAATTAAATCTACTTATAAATGTAAAAATGATAATATAACACTGAATCAATTAAAATTTCAAAAATATCAATTGGAAAAAATTAAATCATCTTTCACATTGGCAAATCTCCCACCCACAGAAGGTGCAGCAGAACAACATTGTTACAGGGCATATTATCAACTTCAAACTTGGCTAGGTAACGAACTGACAGCAACAGATTGGGACTGGAAGCAACATGAACGTGGGATTATGCCCAAATTTACAGAGAAGGAGTTAATTCTGGAAATATTGCTCAAAACTATTTGCTGTAGCTGTGAAACTGGATGTAACAGTTTAAAATGTGGCTGCCGAAAACATGGCTTAAAATGAACAAATTTATGCTCAAATTGTAATGGTTCTGAAAAATGCACCAATGTGGAAGAAAAAACCTACGAGGAAGTTAGTGATTCAGATGAAATTGTGGATGAAGGACCAATTCAGGTCTTGAAGATTTCGAAGATCTACTAGAATCGGGAAGGTTTGTCGAATCTAACGATGAAGAAATGCCACCGAAGAGACAAAAAGTAATGGATAAGTGATTAAAGTTCAAGATAAGATTTATAAATAAGAAGATTAATGCATTTTAAAATATTATTATGAATAATAATCAGTATAAAATATCTAAATTCAATAGTACGATTTACATTTCTATTCATATATTATGAGATTTTCTATGACATAAATGTAATTAGAATTTAATAAATCAACTTTTTGTCAAAAAAAAATTGCAGCAATCACATTTTTTAATTGAAATCCCCCCTTTAAATCCTATCTTTAATATTTAGAACAACTATTTTTGCATGTTTCTTGCAATTTTTATGATTTATGGGTTTGTAATTTTTTTGTTTATCAATGTAACATAGAATCTGATGTTTTTCAAGTAATTAAAGTGTCAATTTTACTAAATAGCTCAAAATTGTAGATAGTGATTAAAAAAAAAAATTTCGGATTCGAGTTTTTTTCTTTTCTTTGCATTTTCTGAGAACATTTACCATAGTTATGTATATATTTTTTTACATTATCAGAAAGAAGAGATTTCAACGAACAAAAACTCCCCGTTTTTTTAAAAAGCTAATATTTTGATGCGAGAATTTTCGATTGAAAATTAGGGTGTTTTTTCGATATTAAGTCAAAATAAGGTGAAAAAATAAATATTTCTAATCAAAAAAATTACAGTGTCTTTAGGACATAAAAAGGTAAGTTTTCACCAAATTTCGAGATAAAAAATTTCTTTTGCATAAGGGAAAAATAAAAAACCAAAAACTTGATTATTTGAATTTTTCACATAAATATTGAGGTTATGTGAAAAAAGTGTAATTACAAAAGTTGTAGGTCTCTTTATTACCTACAACTTTGTCATTTAATTTTTTTTTTCATAGGACTTGTAGTTTTGCCGGAAATCGAGATACACCGTTTTTTACCCTTAAAAACTCACCTCCTTCCACTTCCCGACCTCAGATCGCCCGTAAATTATTTATCCTTCTATTTTTGTTATATTCTCGTCCTTTTTTAACGGGTTTCATCCTACTATTATTTTTTTTTTCAAAACTTATCGACCCTGGTCTATTAAAGTTTTAAGAATTTTTAATTTAACTCGCTCCACACGTATACTGTGAAGTACCTGCCCATACCAAATAGGTACCCAGTATTGAAATTATACCTACGTAACAAAATAGATAATTATCAACATTATTGTCCCGTGAATAAAAACTCGTCACTTATATCTGAAAATGATGTGGTATTCCGATATATTTGGTAGGTAATTATAAAACAGTTAGATTATCCTGTACTTATATTTCAAAATCTTATGGTTACATGCATAACGTAACTTGCTCAAAAGTCACTAAAGAAATGCAAGGTCTTGTTTTAATAATTTCAAAACAATTATTTTTGGTAATTGGCTGCATGGCTCACCCTGTATAAAAAGTAAATATTGTTGACAGGTAGATATTAGGATAATGAAATAATATTAATATGTGGCGCAACTGAAAATTATTGAGTGATGGCAAAAATATATTGTGATTTATTCGTGAATCACCCTGTAACAATAAATATTTTAAAATATCTTTTTTTATGAACATCTGATCAAAAATTATAATAAACTTTTATATAGATTAAGTCAATCTATCTTTTCAGTTTGAAGAAAACTAGTCATAGTATCGGATTTAAAATTCATACTTTCTTAAACAACATTAAAATTATTATATATTGAGAAAATGGTTACATTTGACGGGGGAAATTTTAGAATACCGTGTGTTCGTGGTTTTTGTACTTTTTATAATATAGGATAGGTACCTTCCAACAAATAAATGAAGCTTACAGGTAGACATTTTTTAGTAATATTACCTTTCCCAAATTTCAACTCATAAGTACAGGGTTTTGAATTAATCGTTAAAAAAAATAATTTTATGTCGTGGTTCTTTCTGTATAAGAAATGTGTGTAATGTGCAATATTTTGTCGTCAAAATACCACATTGAGTAATACTTTTTGAAAATAAGCTTCTCTGACCGCACAGTAAAATTAGGGTGATTTTACAAAAAAATACCGTCATACATTTGTAAATCACCCTCTAATTATACATATTTTTAATTGTATGTATGTACTAGTGTGTTACTAAAACTCATATTAAACGTGCGTATGCATCATAAATTCAATATAGCTCGTAAGTTTGCAAATAAAAATTCCCAAATCCTGCCCTGGGCAAAAAGACTTCATGCGCGTCCTTGAGATTAACTTCATAACCTTTCCATAGTGTTGTTACTAAACTATTTACTGATTATTAAATTATTAATGTTGTACATGATTGCAATAAACAAAGTTTTATGTACAGGGTTTTATTTAACTAGTAAATTCATTTAGATGTTTTATGATAAATTTTGAGAAACATGACTTTATATAAAGCATAAAAATATTATTAAAATAATGTATGATATTGCGAAAATTTGTATCATGTTTACTTATTAAGGTATTGTTGACATACATGATATAATTGGTGAAATAGCCTATACCAGGTGTCTACAGAAAAACTTAATATTGAATTATTTCTGGTGTTTTTGAAGATAATTATTTTCATTCTGGGGTTAAGGATATAGGAGAATAATGGACAGTAAATCTCATACCTCCTTACATAAAATTTTCTCGGAATTCCTAATAACCATGTAATTGGCCAAATATTTATCCATGAACATTTAATTAGACCTATGTACTTACAGTTTTTGTTTGAAAATTTAAATGACTAAAGAAGGAGGAGATAAACTTTCATCAAGATAGAGCTGGGCTACATTACTATTTAAAATTAAGTAATTATTTTGATAATATTTTTCTAGAACACTTGATATGACGTATTGAATGGACAGCTCGCGCCCCTGATTTAACTACTAGTATAGATTTCTTTTTGTGGAACATTTAAAATTCGTTGTTTATAAGTCACCGCCACAATCAATAGCCGATTTAGGTAATAAAATAACAGATGTGTGTAGAAATTTAACGCCACAAGTATTTGAAAATGTTAGAAATAATTTTGAAAATTGACTTACTTATGTAAATATTAGTATTTACTTAAACTAAATTATTATGAATAAATCTTGTTTTAAATATTTCCCGGACTAACTTATGATTTTTCGAAGTTAATAATTTCGGATATCTAAATTTTTTTTCTTTTAATTATCTCATAAATTTGATGATGTAAGTAACTAGTGTTTTTACGTAGATACATAAAAAGATGCATTCTTTTAAAATTAATCAAAAAACTTCAGATGATCATTTAAAATCTTGGAGTCGGGGAGGATGGGGATGGAGCGGTATAAGAATACAAGAAACACTGTCTATTGTCCCTCTATATCCTAAATAACCACCAAAAAATTCAAGTTTTATCTTCAAAAACCCAGAAAAGATATTTGATTTTCGCCTGGTAGATTTAAAACACATATCTGTATTAATATTGGGCACTTCCTTTCCAATGCTATATATTTAACCAAATAATTTCCACTTTTGTAATATTTTCTATTATTTTCAGAGCGGGTGGGGTAAGAGGCTAGCCCCTGACAACGAAGATTTTACCATGCAGGAAATCGCTTCACTGTTGGAACGAAACGACCATCAAAGTATACCTGTCGAATCAGATTTTGACGATCACGAAGAGGAAAAACGATCAAATTGGGCCAAATTTTCAGACGGGTGGGGAAAGAGAAACAAATGGGAAAGTTTTCGAGGTATGAAAAATTTTTCAGTATAAGCTTTTTTTAATCTGTTTTGAGTTAATCATATGTGTATGTATCTTAATTCTATAATTTTAGAAGAATCAGAGATAGAAAAAAATGGCCCTTTCGGTCACCAGATCTAGCAGCTCTTGATTTTTTATTTCTCAGCTATACCGTAGAAAAAAAATTTATATTGGTATTTATAAGACGTATTAATTAACACCTTCATTTATTTGTGACTTCAAATAAAAAAAGTTCACATCTTAGTGCAACAATCGGTATGTAGTGAGAATTTACTGAAGTGTTAAGCGGTAAACTGTTCCAAATAAAAATTTTAAATATCACATGTTATTTTTGAATTGTTCCAGATAATAATAATTTTTAGATAAACTGTTTAGAGGATGCCGTTTTCTCAGTATCGTAATTATTATTTACCTTAATAACTTAATACACTGGCAATTATTTTAATAAGTTGGCCATAATAAATGAATAAAAGAAATTTCGATCAAAAATAAAGGTTTTTAGCATAGCGCCTAAACGATTCAATTTTTTTAACTGAAATTAAAAATGAAGGTACCTTAAACATTAGGCCATTTGATGAACCCATCATTATTTTTTTAAGTTTTAATATTCAATTTTCATTTTTCCTCAAAGAGTGATCGACTTTACCCCGCATATTGGGTAGTCAATCACCTATTCAAAAGAATAGAAAATCGACTTTATCCTCTCAAAGGGTGAAGTCGATTAACAAACATTGAAAATTACCCAATCTAATTTTTTAATTTTAGGTTAAGAAATCCATCAAAAAATAGAAAAATGCTTCTTTATTCAGTTTTCTTTTACAGCCTTGGGTTGCTATAACTAAATAAACTCAACGAAAAACTATAAATAATAAAAAAATATAGGAACAAAACATAATCACAAATTCTTAGATCTTTTTAAAAAAATAAAACATAGGTATTCTTTACATTGGTAGAAGAATTCAGTCAAAACTTAAATAAAATTCAACATAAAATTTAAAATTCTTAGCTGTACTTAGCTAACTTATTTAAGATATTGTTCTTCTTCGCTTAAATGAAAGTTGTGCCTTCCACGTTTTTTTTTCCTTTTAATCTGCTCAAACGTAATTACTGATGGTCAGAAATTTGCGGATACACAAAAAACACATCTTTGTTTGAGTCTTTCTTGCGCATTGTATTAACAGATATTTCTTCGTCTGAGATAGTTTTAGTCTTGATAATAAAATGTCTGTCTCTTCTGTTGGTTTTGAATTTTACTAATACGTAATCGTTTACGATGAAAGCTTCCGAATTTTGCTCTTCTGTCAAGCTTTCGAAAAGGGTAGAAGGTTCTCCTATTTCATAATCTTCTGTGAATGACTTCTCTGATTCCGCAACCTCTAAATCCAACACTTTTTATGACTCAATGTCACTTATATTCTTATTTTTAGCTTCTCCATGTTCGTCTTCTGATTCGTTATTACTTGCCTCCCGTCTCTGCCTCCTGGTTTTGGTGTCTTGTGATATGGGTCTGAATTCAGCCATTAACAGATCCGATGTTTCTATGCTTTTTCCTGGAGATAAATACAGTTTTTTTCCTCATCTATCAGTCTTCGTTGGATCTGTCCAAAGTTGTTCAAGATGATCTACTAAAGCACCTGTTCATGATGTTTCTTTAGTACAGCATTCGAATTGAATGAAAAGATGTCACATGCTTTGAACCCTGCAATAGAGTTGGCTTGAGATTTAAGACCAACAGAATCCACAGCCTCCTTGAGAAACTTTAAAAATAAAATTTTGGGAAGCACTCCTCTATTTCTCAACTTCCATGTTTCTAATTCTTTTTTCCATGCCGCCTTAAGAGGTCGGAAGTAAGCTACATCCAAAGGTTGTAACAGGTTTGTGGAGTTGGGTGGCAGCAGGACAAACCTAATATTGTTATTTTTGCATTCCTTTATAACGCTGACAGTAAAGTGGCTACTTAAATTATCTCTAACTAAAACTTTATCTCCATTTAGCTTCTTAAAATGCGGCAAAATAATAGAATAGAACCAGTCTAAAGACGGTGGAATCAAACCACCCGCTGAGCGTGCGATTGTATCTGGCCCCTTCTATACCCCTTCAGTCCATTGCACATACGAATGTTTTGCCTTATAGACAATGTATGGTGGTGCTTGTTTTCATGCTATCTGTGGCCCTATGTGCATACTTGGTGCCCTTTTTTAAGGCGACTTTCACAGTGCCCGGGTCATTTACGAAATTTGTTTCATCATAATTGATGTTAGAACATGGAATATCCTTTACATTTTTTAAATTTCTAAAATAATAAGCTACTAACTCGTAGCTTAACGCTACTCGAACTCGTTTTGTATTTTCTGCCAGTTTTATGAGACCATTGAACCAGTCTGTTCCAGGTAAGTTATCTACGAACCTTGGTTCTGTCACCTCACGCTTCGAAAAATATTGCCTGACAATTGGCGCAAAGTTGCAGGCCTTCATCTAACATTTTCTCTTCATTTTCATTTAGAGCGGATGGTCTTCCATACTTGAGCGGATGTCATCCGTGATAATGATCATTGATGGTCGAGTAAGGGGTGGCAGATCGCTCAGCGACAGCCCTCATCGACATCTTTTTTTGTTTCACCACCGAACTGTTCTAAAATTGCGCAGAACTAGTTGCTCAGTGGTACAAACTTGGAATTCTTCCGAACATTTTTGTATTAGACATTAACACAAACAACTAAATTATCAACTGTCAATTGATTTTGTTAAAATTGTGGAGTAAAATAATTATTATTTATCATTAAAAAAACTAACTTTAAATAAAATTGGTATGCTCTGGTTACGTTTTTTGAAGGTCAGTCACCGTAAATATGTTCTTCTTATTTTAAAGAACAAAGATAAACTATGTAGAAAATTAATTTTCGCAGTCAAATTCCTATAATTCCATATTTAAGGAAATTCACAATATATATTATACCTAACCTTTAACCTTGTTTACATATTATTTTTGTAATGGTTCAATGCATATGTATAACTAGAACGATTGTTGTCAGTTCGCACTTTTGGCTAGAATCACATAGAACTCTTTAAAACAGTTTAGAATCATTTTAAAAAAAAACTCAAACATAGGACTCTTTGTTCAGAACTTAGTTCCAGAAAACACGAACACTTTTAGTCTACTTCGCATGTCTGGGACGGTTCTGCACAAGTCAAACTAAAAACAAGAAAAAACCTTAAAACTGATCGAAATTACCACTCAACAATGGATTTTTTAAAAAATCTCCAGTAGAGCCTTAACATTTTTTATTATAGTCTTATTTTTCTTTATTCACATTCACAAATAACTATGTTTTCCCGTATATTTACCAATTATTTTCCTTCGCGCAAGTTGTGAGCTGTGTAATCAATCGTTTCCGCATGTTTTAATTTTAGCCAATTATCAACTCTTTATAAACACTTACCTACCTTATGTATCAGTGAACACTCTTCATTCGAATACGGCTACACTCTTACTGAACCGATTGTCAACTGTTGACTACATAAAAAAACGCGCCAATTTCTTCACAGGTGCGTGCTTGATCTATTTTTCCTCGCATGATCGAAATTACCTCGTTTGACTGTACTTAAAGAAAACTGTCTTTGGTGGATTTCAAATCCTAACGTATATTCATATGACATTATAATCGTTTAGTTACCCATGATTTATGAAAAACTTTATAAAGTGTCGGCTATTAAACGCATTCTAATATAAACAGCACAAGTGCATGTGAAAACTATAGGGAGTTAATATTAAAACGAGCAGGAAACAAATAATATCAGCGATGCTAGTTGATACGGTCCAGTCAACGGTACAACGCGGTCCTTTATTATTCGTTTCATGTTCGCTCGAATACTGTAGTTTTCACAATAAATTTCATTTAAACTTAAATAAATAAAGTTACTTTTGAAAAATTTGTAGTAGTATTTGTAGAATATAAATATTTTTTTTGTTTTAGGTGCATGGGGCAAACGTGAACCTGCTTGGGTAAATTTAAAAGGACTTTGGGGGAAAAGAAGCAATTTGGACAGCTACGTGATCAATAAATAAAACCTATTTTGGTAAATATATATTGTTTCTGTTTCTTGACTCTCAATCCTTAGCACTTACTATGTTGATTTGAACATTTCCAGAAATGTTTTGTTATAAAAACTAATTTAATAAGCAAAATTGTTAAACATATTACAAAATACTATGTTCTTTAATTTCGCTTCATATTGGAAACTCACTTCCACTTTTTGTGAGTTTCTTTATCTCCAGCAGACATTAATTTCAAAACTGTAACTTTGATTTTGGTTACTAAGTAGAACGCCATTTTTATACAGGCTTTATCCTTATGAGGATTCAACAAGCTTTGATTTTGCTTACTAAGTATAGTATCATGAACAAGCTAATAACCTCCTTTTTTAATAAGTCTATAATTTTCTAGACTTTGCTCACTAAATTTAAAAATTTTGACAATGCCTCCTAAACTTTTCTATCGAATTTTACGAATTGGTAATTTTCCATATGTATTCTCGTTTGCAAGTCCTGCAGGAATTGCTGGAACTAGCTATATTCATAGTGACAATTCTTCTCTATAATATAACTCTTCTGCGAATGTTCTCCTTCTTTTCTGGACATAAACTATGTACCAATTCTATTAAGCACCTTCTGAGAACGGTTACATAACTTGTCAGGACACATTCAGCTTCTTCAATATATTTTGTAGACCGGCTATTTATGTTTATTTTTATTAGCTATAAGCAGTAGAGTCTTGGGTCTATTGTGGTCCTCCGCTTTCTCCGTATTCAGGTACTATCTTTGAAATAGATCTGTGCTTTCAGTTAGTTTTACAAAATTCACTACCACTTCATTGTATAATCCCATAACAAGAAGGTGTTTCAGCCAGCAGTGGCAGATAGTAATACCACAACAATGGTAGATATTTGAGGTCTTTGCAAGGTGTAGTTCCCCAGCAGTTATCCGTGGGTTTCTTTTATTTTGCATGGAACTTATTGATTCTGTGTTCTTTTATAGGTTGCTAGTGAATTTGGTGTTTTGTGGTTATCCACCTATTCACTGCCCGTCGAGCACAGGTTTTGCTTACCCCAAATACAGTTCATTAGTCTTTTCATTTACTTTATGTCCTGATACCAACAATAGTTTTACCTTATTGTGGGTTGCCAGATTATTAATATTGCAATGCAGTTCCAGACCAGCTTTGACCTGATCGTGTTTAGGGCTGCTTAGCTGTCTAAGAAAATTAAGATGTATTGTTTTTTGTAGTTAATTTTAAAATTCTATTATATACACATTTTGATTGCATGTATTTCAGCCTGCAATACAGTGGTATTTTATCCCAGTGAGATAGCGATGTCGCATTTGGATTTAACTCCATGTACTCCAAAGCATGTTCCCTTTTTATATTTAGATCCATATACAGGGTGTCTGTAAAAAGTCTTTACAAAAACATACCACATATTCCTTAGACCAAAATAAGTCGATTTAAGTAAAATTACCTTAGTACAAAGATGCTTCGTTTGGGCTCCAGAGGGCCTTGAAGTTACAATTTTTAAATCGTTTTTCCCATATAAATTTAAAACGGCATATGCGATTTTGCTGAAATTTGGTATATTGGTAGAGTTTTATGTGACAACAAAAATGGTATTTAAATTTTGTCCGATAATAATACATAGGCGTAGAACTTGATTTTTTAAATAATTGCACCTTTAAAAATTCTACGCCAATGGAAGAAAAGGAGTTTGACTATGAAATTTAGATTGCGCAACTCATTTACTTTAAAAGAGGTACTCTTGATAAGACTCGATTACTCTCATGGTTTTAACGAAAATTGCATTTTAATAATTTTAGAACATGAACAATAATTATTAAAATACAAACTTTGTCAAAACCATGAGAGTAAATCGAGTGTTATCAAGGGTACTTTTTTGTAGTAAATGAGTAACCAATCCAAATTTCATACTCAAACCCCTTTTCTGCCATTGGCGTAGAATTTTTAAAGGTGCAATTATTTAAAAAGTTCTACGCCTATGTATTATTATCGGACAAAATTTTATACGATGAAAAACATAAAAATGTACATTTTTCATATCTTCTTCAATATCTCTAATCGAGACTTTTAACAAAAATACTCGATTCTTGCCATGTACGATTTTTTGAGGAATATTAATTATTTGCCTGCAATACGTATACAAAAACATTTATTGTTGGTTTCCATAGTTTCATCTAAATAAAAAAATTGTCAAGTTTTAACACCTAATCTCTTGTTAACGATTGAAAGTGTTCTATCTGACTCAATAATTAAAAAACAAATGCGTGGTTTATTAATATGGCTGTATCAATGCAGAATATACCGATATGTTACTGACATTAGGATTTTGTGAAGGAAATGTTCGAGAGAGTGTCGGGGTGTACTCTGAAAGGTTTCCAAATCGTCGTGTCAGGATTCCTGAAGTTGAAGAAGACATTTTAGAACGTGTTGAAGAAGATCCAGAATTAAGCGCCAGAGGAATTGGAATGGAACTAGGAGTAAGTCAAGATGTCGTTCATAGAGAACAATTGCTATATTCATACCATAAGAAGCCAGTACAAGAATTATTAGTCCATGTTCCTCAAATTCGTTTGGGTTTTTGTTGATTTGTTAATATGCATAGAGAAAGAGATCCAAACTTTGTCAAGAAGGTTCTCTTTACCGATGAAGCGGGTTTTACAAGAAGAGGTATATCTAATACCCATAATGAACATGTTTATGCCGTTGAAAATCCGCATGCAATAAAGGTAAACCATTTTCAGCACGAATTCAAAATTAATGTGTGGGCTGGAATAATTGGTAATTTCATTGTTGGTCCTGTCATACTTCCACGAAGATTAACTGGAGAAAACTATTTGGATTTTCTACAAAATACGTTGCCAGAATTGTTAGAAGATTTACCTCTCCAACTTCGGAGAGATATGTGGTTTATACATTTTTCTTTAAACGTTGGAAACCACTTGAATGAACAATATCCACACAAATGGATAGGCAGAGGTAATGACGCACCTGTAAACTGGCCACCACGTTCCCCAGACCTAACACCGATGGATTACTTTTTATGAGGACATCGGAAATCCGCAGTTTACAGGGAACCTGTAGAAAATGAGGAACAACTCTGGCAACGTATTCAAGATGCAATAAACAATCTTAGAGGCGATGAAGAAGTTATGGAAAGGATACATTTTAATTTTCTTCGACGTATAAATCTTTGTATGCGTGAAAATGGTGAACATTTTGAACAATTTTTGTAAAATCTCTATTTTGATTATGTTGTAAATAAATATTTTTGTGAAACCTATACACTCTAAATTATTAAAGCAGAAATTTAGCGAAAACCATGAGAGTAATCGAGTCTTATCAAGAGTATCTTTTTTAAAGTAAATGAGTTGCGCAATCTAAATTTCATACTCAAACTCCTTTTCTTCCATTGGCGTAGAATTTTGAAAGGTGCAATTATTTAAAAAATCAAGTTTCACGCCTATGTATTATTATCGGACAAAATTTTATTACCATTTTTTTGCTACATAAAACTCTACCAAAATACCAAATTTCAGCAAAATCGCATATGCCGTTTTAAATTTATATAGGAAAAACGATTTAAAAATTGTAACTTCAAGGCCCCCTGGAGCCCAAACGAAGCAACTTTGTACGAAGGTAATTTTACTTAAATCGACTTATTTTGGTCTAAGGAATATGTGGTATGTTTTTGTAAAGACCTTTTACAGACACCCGGTTTGACGGGTTATGATATGGAAAAATTATGGCAACCCTGTAGGCCTGGTGATTTGACAAGGTCAATAAAATAGATAGTTACATAGATTGATCATCCATATTTTTAAAAATAAACATAAGCCTTGAAGTAAAAATGTAAGCATTTTTTTTTTAAATTTCTAAAGGCTAAAAATTGGTTTTAAAACACATTTTTGCTAAAACGGTTTAAATTAATAAATATTTGTCAGGCAATATGGCCGCTCGTAAACGATCAGATTTTTGCTAAAACGGTTCAAATTAATAAATATTTGTCAGGCAATATGGCCGCTCGTAAACGATCAGCTTTGGGCAATCTATATAACTATATATGTATCATTGACCCTGTTAATGACAACATGACAACAGGGTTGCCATATCTATACTGTCATTACCCACTGGTAGCCATTTGGACAGGTCGTTGGAATGCCTAATTGGAAAAATTTAATGATAGGCGAGATAATTCCTAATCGAAGGCTGTATGTGGCATGTGTATTGCCAATGTCTGATTTATATCGTAAAGATAATTCATCGACACAAAATGCCTAAGGTGACGCCTACAAATTTTAAATGTCTATAATTTTACATCTTTGTTTGCGCATCATACAAACGTAAAAATATCCGCAAACAACACAGCCGTACAAAAAAAGTGTTCAGACTTGCCGGTTGGACATATTTGTATTATCATGTATTTTTCAACGCTGAATCCGATACCGAGCTCAGAAATAGCCCTCCACGTCTGGAATTGGCCCCAAAGGCCAAAAATGGCCTCTATATGGCCTGAAAGGTGGAAGAGTCAGTACTGGCTCAAATCGAGTTCCTGAGGATTTTCGAAACACGATTTTCCTGCCCCTAAAAGGCCATTTTCCTGGTTCCAAACGGAGAAATACAGTTAGCCATAAACTTTTCGAGAACGGTATTCATTCCAGAATTTAAAAGTACATAAAAATACCACTGATTCTATTGCGACGTCCGAAACACGATTTTCCGGCCCCTGAGGGGCCATTTTCCCGGTCCCAAACGTGAAATTTCAGTTGGCCATAAACTTTTCGAGCACGGTATTCATTTCAGAATTCAAAAGTACATAAAAATACCACTGGTTCCATTGCGACGTCTAAAATACGATTTTCCGGGCCCTACCGGGCCATTTTCCCGGCCCGCACGGGGAATTCCAGTTGTCCGTGAACTTTTCGACCACAAACCCGACTTTGGCTTTAGAATGCACCTTCAACCACGCCTCATCTCGGAATCCACCTTTCAGGCCATATAGAGGCCATTTTTGGCCCATGGAGCCAATTCGAAACGTGGAGGGCCCTTTCTGAGTTCGGGATCAGATTCAGCGTCGAAAAATACATGGGAATACATATGTCCGACCGCCAAGTCTGAACCCTTTTTTTGTGAGGCTGTGTAATCAAACAGTTCGTATTCACATTGTTTTATTTTAGTACTTAATTATTTTAATGTGTCCCGAATAATTTTGACTATTTTGAGTTATGTAAAGTGTGACAATATTAATAATATTTTTTTTTTTAGGTTACAATTGTTTCAGAAAATTTAAAAATGTCTTCAAAATCATCTCTTCATTGGCAATTTCTACAAAATGTTTTTTTTGTGTTAATATGAGTGATATTTTACTGTCGTTCTGTTAAAAAAAAAATAAAGAGTATAATTTGTTTTTCAAAAAAATTAAACTCCAAATTAAATCAATCGAAATAAAAATGATAATATAGCAAACTATACATATTATAATATCAATTAGTTTTAAGTATACATACTTTAAGAAATAATTAAAAATGTGTTATGTATTTTTGAACAATATTTGTAATTATACCTGAAAGCAGACTAATAATTTATGTGTAACTGAATGTAAAACTAAGAATTATAGTTAAAATAAAATACATGCTGGCATCCTACACAAGCCTTTATTTATTGTTATTCCATACATATAATTTTACACACTCTTCTCTACTTTTTAATTTACTTTCGATATTTTCAACCAGACACCACCATCTACTGCCAAAATAAAAGCATTAGTAACATATTTTATAGGTAATTTAGTCTTTTTGTGTAGCTCCACTTTAAAATTATCTAGCACAGATATAATTCCAACCTTAGTTTCTAGAAGGCCAAATCTAGAGCCTAAAACAGTAAAATTATAATTAATTTTCAAAGCAAAGGTTAAGTAAAACTTTACAAAAATTGAGGTAACGGACAATATTCTATACAAGGAAATTAGATGAATAGATTTTTCCTTTAAGGTGATAAAAATCTAATGATACTAAGTTGAAAGATATTGCCCAGCAAGAGATTCAAAGCTTGTTTAGTTTCTTGCAGAAATATCTTAGATCTACAACGTTTTTAAAAAGGTACCCAGATGAAATAAAAATAACAATAGCAGTGAAAAGTAATTTTTAAGGTACCATTTCGGAACGCGTGACATACGACAGACGACAGCAGAAGCGACGGCGAAGGAGACATATGCATTTACGTTACGCTTCACACATTTGCCAGACCTACTGTTTTGAAGTAGATCCACTGTTTTTGTCTCTGTTTTCCTGTTTAAGGCATAAAATCCACTGTTTTCACCAAATTTTGTTCTTAATTTATTAAATTTGCCTCATTCTTCAGCAAATGGTCAAATAATATGTTCTCTAGTAAATTTTCTGAAGTAAAAGTAGCGTAATTAGCAGCCACTATTGTAGGTTTGCTCCATAAAAACTCAAGATAATCATTATGTTTTTATTTAACACAGATGAACCTACCGATCCGTTAAAATAGCGTTCTACATACTAACTCCAAAATTTTGAGACAGATGGCGATACCAACATCGTATCAGTGACAAAATATCTTTTAATTGTTTAGTATATCGTCGTTTACGAGTAATAGCGGAAGTGTTTATAGCTACCAATTTTTATTTGTTTGTTTTTATTTGTGCGTCATGGATTCTTGGAGGTAAGTGAATCAAGAAGGTTTACTATATTTTGAAATAAATAGTATATTGGGTATTTATAGACATCAAATACCAGAAAGGGCCAAAAGCCGGGAAAATAGGGAAAAACAAAACGAATCAATCTGGTATACAGACGGTTCGAAAATGAAAAACAGCACAGGAGCTGGGATCTACCATGTGAGCTCAGGGAGGACAATTAGTTTGAACCTGGTGTCACTGACATTAGTCTTCCAGGCTGAAGTAACAGCAATAAATGCCTGAGCCAAAGTCATGCTAAATGCCTCTCTTAGAGATAAGAGGATCGTTATCATGACAGACAGCCCTTAAAGCACTGAAAAGGGTAGAAGTACAATCTAAATCAATATTTGATTGCCAACAGTCCCTCCAGGCCCTGGCAGAATATAACAAGGTCACCCTTAAATGGGTGCCAGGACATGAGGGAGTGTTTGGAAACGAGAAAGCAGACCTCCTAGCAAGAAAGGGAGCGGAAAAAACTCTTATTGGACCAGAACCCACGTGTGGTGTCTCATACCAACATGTTAAATGGGTGTTAAAGGAACAAATAAAAAGAGAATACAATAGGCTCTGGATGGAACTTCCTGGACTTAGACAGTCCAAAAGATTCATAGGGAGGCCATCCACGAGCAGACAACATCAACTACTAAACCTTAGCAGAAGCGAACTGAAGGCCGTAATAGGACTCCTTTCGGGACACTGCAGCCTTAGAAGACACCTTAATCTCTTAGGGATATCTGATGACTCCCTATGTAGAATATGTGAAGAGGAGGACGAAACTCTTATTAAATGGAAACGGGAATGGTACTTCGGGGTACAATATCCGGAACCTGAAGAAATCGCGAAAGCGCCCATCAGACATATTCTTGAATTCATCAAGAAAATCAATCTGATGGGATAGAAACTGTGAGGGGTTCAATAAGCCTAGAGCTTCAGTACAAGTGGGCTTTGAACCACTTTCTAATTCAGATAGATATATAGATAGATATAGACATCAATAAAGACATGTTTAATGTTTAAAAAATATAAGCAACCATTTTTCTCTGTGGGATCACCTGTTGAAAACGACGTTCCGATAAAGGAACGCTAGGACAATATACTCTGTCCATGATAATGTGACGTAATATTTTCTTTATAGTTTTTGTTGTTGCAGACGGTCATTGAAACTCCATAAACTTCTGGAAGAGATAGATAATCTTGATGAAAACTCTTTACCACCAGACAGCATAACAATAATACCACCCGAAAATGCTACTAATTAGAATATTGATGAAGATTCTGGGAATGAAGATCTGGTTTTGCCCAGTAATCTTCCCGGAAGCCAATTGAGGGCTGAAGCATTTTTTACCAATGATAGAGACACCCAAAGGAATGACGAAGACTGATAGCGAGGATGATCTACCTCTATCAATACGTGTAGTCAAGAGAAAGATAATATCGCAAAATAGCAATTCAAAAAAAAAAGAAACAACCTGTGGTCGAATGGTCCGATGATAATATATAGTCCATATTTCCTGAGTGGTTAGAAGAATATGGCCCTAAAAATGATAAATCCACTAGATTTCTTTATGTACTTCTTTGATAGCGATATAATTCAAATGTTAGTGAACTACACGAATATGTACGCCTCTCAAAATAATTAAATTTCTACAATTTCTGATGATGAATTGTATTGCTTCATTGGAGTTCACATTCTAAGCGGGTATGTCATCGTAAGTCGTCGTAAAATGTATTGGCAGAATTCTTCAGATGCAAACAATATTCTAGTTTGTGAAGCAATTTCCCGAGATAGGTTTCAATATATTATGTCAAATTTACATTGTAATGACAATAATCATCTAAATAACAAAGATAAATTCTCTAAAATGAGACCCTTGTTCGATTCATTAAACAAGCGATTTCGATTGTTTGCGCTCGAAGAATAAAATCACAGCGTTGATGAATCTATGGTGCCTTATTTTGGGCGTCATGGTTGTAAACAATTTATAAAAGGTAAACCAATCCGGTGAAGTTATAAATTTTGGACCGAAACAACTAAATTAGGCTACATAGTATGGTTTGATCCATATCAAGGTTCGTCTACTACTCTCACAGACAAATACAAGGAAATGGGAATTGGTGCTAGTGTTGTATTATAATATGTCGATACCCTCACAAGTGAGATCTATCGACCCTATCACATATTTTGTGATAATTTCTTCACCTCATATTTGCTACTAGAAGAACTGAAAGATAGGGGCATCAGGTGCACGGGAACCATGAGAGAAAATAGAATCCCTGCAGATCCAATGGATAAATAAAAAATGATGAAAAAGAATCCAAGGGGTTCATTTACCCATAAAACTGGAAATGGGATAACACTGGTTTTCAAGTGGAACGATAACAATGTAGTATCAATAGCCACAAAGTCCCTATCAGTTGAACCCATAAATAAAGTAAAACGATACTCCAGATCTGATAAGAAGCATATTTACATAGATCAGTCCCATCAAATCCAAAAATACAATAAAAATATGGGAGGAATATCGGACTGCAAAAAATGTGGAATTGCACTACATCCCAAATAATGTGTTTCATACTTTGTAAATTTAAATTATAATTACAATAAAAATGTAATATTTTTATGGTTGTTTATTGTCCTACTAATCCTTTAAAAGAACATCTCATATTTCGAAAACAGAATAATCAAGATTTTTATAAATACTAGTTTAGGTTGTAAACTTGTATATCCATACAAAATTTTTCAAAAAAAAACTTGAGATTTAAAAAAATAGTTTCAGGTATATCTGGGTTAAAATGCAACAAAGTATTAAAAGGGCATCATAAAAAGAACACGCATGCTAAACACAAAGTATTTGAATTATCTGATTCAGACTGATTTGAAAGAAATACCTATTATTTTTCATTGTTTTTTTTTTTGTTTCCGGACGTTAATATATATTAACAATTTTACTATTTGTTTTTATTCTTTGTTTATTTTTTGATTTGGGTAGAAAACAGGTTAATTTTTCGTTTCTTATATACTTGTTTCTTTTTTTATTCACTACACTGCAAATTAATTTTTCCCCCTGTATTAAAATCTACTTTTCAGATCTTCTGTTTTTTTTTCACGTTTTTTTTTCACCCACCTACTGTTTCAGCAAGTTTTCATATGGCAACACTGCCCAGGATAGATCGAAAGAACTTTACAAGTACCATTTCCATAAAATATCAACTAATCACCTGTCGATGACTTTTGTCTCTCGCATTGGTCGCGCCTTACGAAATATGTTTCATATAATTTCATGTGTTCAGACGTGTCGTATGTCGCGCGTTTCGAAATGGTGCCTTTAGTCTCTTGATATTTATATCAAGGAGGTTGCTCTGATGATAATAGCTCTATTTCGCATGTTTGGACTAGAACCTGATATAGGATCTATACGCTTCCATTGCTTCAAGCGAACAAAGACTCCATCTCACCGAGATTTATCTTTCGTAAGCCATATGTATATTTTAATACACAACGTTCATGAGAGGTTGTTGAGCGAAATTAAAACCACGCAAACCTCCTATTTGTTACTTACCCTCAGGGTGGTGAAAAGAGAAGGAGATGACACTACATGGAATTACCACTTTCGCCATAAATATAAACTTTGTGACATTTGTATGTGTAGGTATGCTAATATAGTGTTTTTAGGTATATTGTGGTAATTTAAGTTTAATAATAATTATAATATTTATAATAATTTTTTCATTCATTTAATTTATTATTTTTTGTTATTGTGAATAAATAAATATTAGTGGTATTAGATTAGTTTTGTTAATTTCACTTAAATTAAATCAATATTCCATCATTTTTAAAATTTTTATTTTTCATTTTTTTTTTAAACTCATCAATTCCCCCTTTTCTCTTACCCACTGGGTGTGCCGACGATGAAGTGAACAAACTTCGAAACCGATCGCCGTTTAAATACAAATTAATTTCCCTTCTTTTTTCCACCTTTAATCCATTAACTAACATATGGCTCTACCCTAAGTTTGAAAAAGTATTGTTTAACGTTTAACTTGTAAGTTTATTGAACATTGAAAATAATGTTATCTTTTTTTAAGTCAACTTTTTCTGACATCACTACACATGTTACCCCTAAAAAGGTCTCTATGAGCCGATTTTAAAAATATAACCTTTATAAAACTGACGACATATTTCAGTGTACTTCCCAGGTAAATATCAGTAAATATTTAATTTATTATTCATGATATAGGTAAGATATAGGTAAGATAAATACTATAAAGTTTCTCGAATTAATTTAGGGCAGTGCAATATTTATATTTTATATAGTCTTTAAAAAAACTGTAAGTTTATAAAAGTATACATGAAATCAACACCGTAAGATAACCAACTGGCAAATTGACGTTGTTCGTTACTTCCGTTGGCCATCAAGCTAAATAAAAATATCAACATCAACACAGTAGTTAACCAACTGGAAAACTGGTGCTGTTCGTTAACTCCATTGGTGATCAAGCTAAATAGAATACATCTTGATAGCAAATGAACGTGGTCTGCGTTTGAACGGGACTCAAGTGAGATCTCAGTAAATAGTTTATATTAATTGTAATATACTTTGCTAATTATTGCAGCACATTTAAAGTATGAAAAACTTAAGAGTTTAAACATAAATTTGTCTGGTTTTATTTATTAATTTGCACCATTGAATCCTGAGTTGCCTTAATTGATATCATCACAACATGGGTATATAAATTATCAATTAATTAACTGGACGATCACTTCTACAATTAGAGAAAAAAGGCCAAATACAGTAAGTATAAACTAAAATAAAATAAACTTGTGAAGTAAACAATAACATTTCAGAGAGTAAAAGAAATGGGGTGCCGGGGGGGTGGGCGGTTACAACACATGACTATTCTGTAGACTCTGGAGCAAAAAACAAAATAATTATAGCCGTAATTTGGAAGTAAACAAACATAACCTCAAAAATAATAGTATTTTTTTACCTGAGACGTTTTTCGGTAACAATCGTTAAATTGACACACATACGTCCGATTTATTAAAGTCTCAGTTTTATTTAAACTTAATTTTTAATAGATACAATACACAATTTAAATTGTCTGTTGATTTTTAGAATTTGACATCTTGATTGGAAAGTTGGATACGTTGAAAAGATAGAATGTGAAGTACGTAGAGACGACATAAACACTATTTTCTGATATGACAAGTGGAGGCACTTTGAGTCATATGTTGATTAATTCTAAGTTAATAATTTTATATTTGAAGACTGACGGAATGAAAATATTTTGATATAATTTAAATCACGCTATTTAAAAAAAATGGCATTTAGTATCGCCAAAAATGACTAGCTCGAGTTTGACATATGTCGTAAAATGGTATTGCAAAAGTGCAGACACTATAGGGACCGTGCGTCATGACTTTAACGCCAACTGGTGACAAAAATGTGCACTTTTTGGGGGAGATTTATTAATGTTTTATATGGAATTTATTGTTAAGTAATTATTAATTAAATAAAGTCGAATTATTTTCGTAATATCATTATCGAAAAAACATGTTACATCCGTGGATGTAAAAACATATTGCTTTGGAAACCTGGATTTGATTCGGTAGCAAAGTAATTTTATAAATTTCCACAGAGCACCTTCGTGCCTCACACCCAACGATATACATAATTACATAGATTGCTTATCCATATGTATCTTGTTCAATTTTGAGCACTTAGTTGTAAACAAATCATTTACAAAACCGGTTTATGAAATTAGAATCTTTAGTGTTTTTTTCATTAAGATTTTTACATATTTAAATTAACATTTTATATAAATATAATTTTACAGATAATTAATGGTTTATTTTGTTAATTAAAACTAATTTAAAATGTTACTGTGAAATTAGAATGTCCAATTTGACAAACATATACAATTTGTTAACTATTTCTTATTTATCACTAAAATAAACAAATTATAATTAATACATTGCAATTACTGTCAAAAGAGATTGCAACAAATTTTAAAATATAGTGATTTTTTGTAAAATTTTTAGAAACATTACTATTAAACATTACTCAGAATAATAGATAAGTGTCCAATTACAACTCTTACAAAAGTTGTTTATATCTCATATTAAAGTTGTTTACATTACCTTTACAAAGTTGTATTACATATTGCAATTATGTGTTTTATATAGTCTTATTTCTGAAATGAGAGTGGTCTAAAATTATTTACATCCATCCTTATAAAAATTGTTTAGATCTCTTAATATTATTTAACTACATGGAAACTCAACTCTCAAAATACATAACGTGTCTTGAATTAAGTAATTATTTTCTTTTTCTAAAGAATAAAACGCTGAAATTTTATTTTAAAACACATTTGGGCTAGAACGCCCTATTTCGTGGGCAATAGGAAAGGCAATATAGCAGTGCATAATGCAACCCGATTTTCGTAATCTTTTTTATAGATGTGTGAGCAATCTGTATAATTATGTATAGCATTTGGTGTCTCATAAACGTCTAAGGCGGATGAATGACATTTCTACTAACATAAAGAAATATTATTATTATTCTCAATCTATTTTATTAATTTACATTTTTAAAATGTTATTGTAATACTTTTAAATTCGGTGTTACTATATACCGATATTTTGACATTGGATACACTTGCTTGAGGTACAACTTTACAATTTATTGTTAAATTTTTCACATTTTATATCATTTTGACCATGTAAACGATTGTTTGTTACGGGCCGGTATCTATATTTAAATATATTTAATATTTTAAAAAATATCCTTTATTTTTTACTTGCAATGTTTACCCCATTTAATTCTAAAATTGAACACTAGAGAGGGCTAACTTCGGCAGTAGTGCTGCCTCTATATTTCACGCACGGTCCCTATTATTACCGTCATTGCATCTCTATATCTATGATTTGAAAGATTCGTTTGCCCCGCCCTACTTTGTGACGTTACTGTGTGTGTTGCCCAAAATAAGGTGAATATAGTTATTTTAAGCAGGGCATTGTTCATTTAACGAATCTATTAACGAGTTGACAACTCTTTTTAGCTAGAGGCTTTCACGAAAGCATCTCACCTCCTTGAGCTTACTTAGAAAAGTGAGCCGAAGAGACGCGATTAGCCATAACGCAATGGCGTACCAAAAATAGAGATTAACATGTATGAAAACAATAAAATTATTAAGATTTAATTTATATTTTTGTTATTTATATTAAAATAATGTGTTTTTATGAAATGTTAAACAGGGAATAGCTTAAAATAGGATAAATTGAACGTTTTAATTTACAGTGATTGGGCGTATATATTTAATCAAAAAGAGTCTGACCACTCCAGAATCCAAGGGCCCTATACTTAGGAGAATATCAAATAGAAGAGGGAAAATTAGCTAACTTGAAGTTACTCCAAATCCTACACTTCCTTGAGAAAATAGGATTGAAAGGGTCGTTATAAGCATTAAGACCTTTCCTTGCTGCATCAGCGACAGAAGGGAGCACAATAGATCTTTTAGGCTGCAGTTTATTAACACCCCATTCCCAACATATGACATAACCTAACATATGGGTAACTTTGGGATTTTTTTTGGGGATGTTCAAGCAATATGTTTAACTTTTTTCGTTTTCGCTTCTCTAAACGGCTATTTTTCGATAATTTAAAACTGTTTGTCTCACTAAAATTGTATTATTGAAGAACGAAATAAAAGAACGTATTTTCGCCCTTTGATTAATTATATTACAGTTACCTAAACAATATCTGGGTCCCTCTCCAAACGACATAAAAGCACACGTCTTTCTTGTCGCAATATTTTCAGCACTAAATCGCTCTGGATCGAACCTTTGAGGATTTGGGTAAATATCTGGATCGTGTTGAATACCTAGTACTGGTATAACGACATTTGTGTCCTTTTCTAGAACTATATCCGTATTTGGAACTTGATAGGTTTTGGTGCAAATTCGCGGTAACGCAGGTGCTGGTGGATGTTTTCTCAGTGTTTCTAGAAAAATTGTTTTAAATTATTTTTCTTTTACTAGCTTATAATCAAATTTATGTTTTAATAAAATAATGACAATACAAACCATATATTACTTGAGTCAGATACTTCATCTCATTGATATTATCAAAGGTGAGTTCTCCATTATGGTTTTTCAAAACGATTTTAATTTCTTCCCTTAACTTGTCCTGTATGTCTGGATTAAGAGCCATCTCCAGCAAAGCAAAAGTCATAGTAGTTGCAGACGTCTCAAACCCAGCTATAAAAAACAAGAAACACTGTGCTGCAAGCTCGTTAAATGTTATAATATCGGAGCCAACTTCTTCATCTTTGCGCTTTGTGATAAACTCATCATCCGCAATTTTACCTCTATTTTTTAATTGCAACATCATATGTATAAAGTCTTTTCTGAAGACGTTGTTATTTTCTCTATATTCTATGGTCCTTCTGATCACATCCATGAAAAATTTCTCCATTCCCTTGTCAAAAATTGGAAATTTGAGAGCACGCAAGTAGTCTCTGTGAATCACAAATACGATCAATTGTCGAAGCTGTTGTTTCCAGTTGTCGTCGAAGAATTTTTTACCGTTTTCTCTAAATTTCGAATCAGACTGTTTTAAAGAATTAAAATCTAAACCGAAAGCCACCGTGCCTATAACGTCAGTGGTGAATCTAGATAAGGCTTCTTTAATATCGACAGCGTCCTGGATTAACGCTTTCTCGGCTAGTAGGTCTTTTAGACCCACAGAACATTCAAAGACGGTTTGGTACATCATCTTTAGATTGCCTAAAACAAAATACGAGAAAATGGAAAACAAAATAAATATACAAAAATTAATGGGAGACAAAATAACCTAAAATAACGTAAAATTTTCCTGAGGAAAAGTATACAAAGTACTGAACATCATTTTACTTTCCTCTGAGAATACAGTAAATTAATCAGGTGATGTGAACAAATGTGTTTATGATAAAAACTTAAAAAGGTATACAGTTAATAAAAACCAATTTAAGATTTACTTAGGTTATGAAATGGGAGGTAATAAACAACTACTTTTATAAGTTTTTGCTTTATGGTTTATTTTAAATTATACAATTCATATTAACTAATTTATTAAAAAGGATATTTTTACTAACTCTATGTTAAAATGAGACTGTATAGGTTATTGAATGAAAATCAGTCGTAGATGAACGATGTTAGTTGGGTTTCAAATATTTACCACCCGCTTCAATTCAAGCATTTTCATATTACTGAGGCCCTTCCTATGGGGCCTCAGTAATGCATACGTGCAGACGAAAAAATTTTCTGACCCCCATTTTTTAAAACTTTTTTTTATGTTTCCGATCATTCTGAGTACGAAAATGCAAAAAAAATTCGTCTGGTCGTCTGTATGTGTGTATGCCGGCACGATAACTCTAGAACGAAAGTTCTGATTAACTTGCGGTTTTGATTTTCTTGAATAATTACTTCTAACTTAGAACCCTATTGATTTTCAGAATTTTCGGTACATCCTAACTACTTTAAAATCAATTTTCTTAAAATCCACCTATGCATTCCTTATGTGACAATTTTAGGAATTCCAATTATTTATAACGTCAAAATTCCTAACATTCTTTACATTCCATACATTGCAAACATTCTCTAACGACCTGCCAATTTATGAAAAATATATAAGCAGTTTCTTAAAAATTACTTTTTTATAGGGGCGCTACTAAGCGTACTACTATTTTATTCCTAGCCACAAAAACACCTTCATCAAATTTACTGGTTCTCTGTCGCAACCCCATAGAATTTTTATTTTGGTGTCATCGGCGTCGACTACTACGGCCATTAGCCTCGTGTTCTGTGTAGGCTTTGTTACTGTTTCCCAGCGCCACTTTAGGAACAGCACTGTTAATTAGAACCCAACAGTGAATGGTCGAATGGGGAATCCTACCTATGCATTAGAATTAATATTTAATTTTTAATTAAATAAAAATTCCTGCCACCGGTGGGATTCGATCCTGAGACCTTCCGATCTCAGAGTCATGACTCTAACCACTAAGCCAACCCACCCCATCCCCTCCGGCCATTTTATTTGGCAAAAATCAGAATAATGCTTGGCTGTGCCTGTCAAGTATCAAGATGTCAACTGTGATATGTGAATAACTCTTAAATGTCAAATTATTTAAATATGTATACTTCTGATATTTATTGCAAATAATTTGAAATGTATCTCAATTCAGGCTTTCCATAAATAAAGGTACAGCAAGACAGATAATATAATATTCTTATTCAAAGCACTTTTTTAATATATAAAAGAAAGGTAGGATATAATGCCTATTTTAAATTTGGATCATTTATGATACCGATATATTTTGTTGTTTTTCACTTTAATTATAAAGTTGCCATTTATTTGTATGTTGAAAGAAAACCTTTGTGAAACACATTGCTCTCTATGGATCTTCTTTAACACAAAAAAGTTTTGTGGCTATAAGTTGCTATAACCTATCGTCGCAAAACTATTAATAATTAAAATATAGTAAGTAGTATTAATATAACACCAAGTATTTTTTTTAAATAAAGTAATATGATCTCAAAACAAATAATCTATAATAAATGCGGATAAAACGAAGGGTAAAATAACAATAAATTGAGGGAAATACTTAAAAAGGGCAGGTTAAAAGAGTATTATCACAAGAAAGTATATCCGTTCTGTTTATTTATCAAATATTGTTTCAGGTTACTTTTGAATACATTTATTGTTTTTTTTTTTAATTTCTGTAGGCAGTCTATTAAATTTTTTAAACCTTTAATAAAAATTGTATTTTGGGAATTTTTAATGATGGCTTGCCGTACATGAAAGTCAGATTGGCTTCTTGTATTATATTTGTAATATTGCGAATTATACTGAATCATTTCTAATAGATCTGATGCGATGGTACTTTTATTTGATTAGATTTTAGTATTGTTACACTTTTGATCATCCTTTTGATTACATTTAAAATAAAGCAATAATTTTCTTTCAGTCCCTCTTTTTATGTTTTGGGTATTCTATTATGAAACAGTCTTTTCTTAGGAACCCTACCCTATCTCATATTAGGAGACCAATTTTGAAAATAACAAAAAGTGATTTTTTTAGTTATTACCACTTTACAAAAATAATTAACATTTTTAATAAATCTAATGTGTTAAGATGGGAAGTATACCCAACAGTCAAGCGTTTAGAAATAAAACAACTTTTGAAAGTTACATTCTTACCTATTTATTCAAAACAATAAAAAGGTGTCTCATATTGTTCCTTTCCTCTACTGTTGCCCAGAAAGTTTCGCTGTTCGCAAACTTGTTAATTAATCTTTTTTAACAAGCATATGCCTATCAAGCCTACTAGAACAACTAAAGGAGACGAAGAGCGCGGGCGGCTCAAGCGGTGTAGTGGATTTATTATTTCATGATTAAAATTAAATTAAAATTATAAGATTATCCATTAAATCTATTTTACGTATATTTTAGAATGTCTTAAATATTTTCTGTGAAATGTAGATGAAATACTTGCATATTTTTGGCAGTTCTGCATCTCTACTGAACTTATGCAAAAGCCACCACTTATTTGAAATAAAAATCGATCTGTTTTAGCTTTTTCGAAAAATCCAATGATTAATTCCGAAAAATAGGATGAAACCGTTTTGAGTGACCTACTTTGTATATCAAAAATGGCTAGATTTATCGAAGTACAAAATCTGCTTAAAAATGCATTTTTTACCAGATGTGCTATATAAGAAAGATCGTCCAGTGAAAAAAAAAATATATATTGAGCGCAGCGCCATCTCCATATTGACCTATTTAAAATTATTTTATATCTAGACTCCGTTTCACGAGAGAAGAACACAATAACAATTAGGCATTCCATAGATTTAAATTAATTTTCGCGCGCCTGTCATTTGTCACGTATAAGTAGGATGTTTGTTTATTTACGTATTGTGGGATTTTGTATTTGTGATTTTTTAACTGTTTTTAGATAATATTCTTATTATAATAGTGTTTTTGAGTTTCATTTAGTGTTAATTTAAGTTTAGTTTTCGTGCTTTCGTTATAAATGTAATTTTTCATGTGTAGTACGAACTAATTTGTTGGAAATATTGACCTATTGGTTGCTATAAGAACATCTAGAAATATGTATTTACTAAACCCAGGACATGTTTTATTATGTGGTTTAAAGGACATATCAGGTACCAAACGTTTATTATTGATGAACTTCTTTAAAAATCTTACTATCCTTATTCTTATATCATGAAGTGAATTGTGTAGTACTTTGTATACATGTAAATGGTAATAAAACCGTCACAACTCATATTGAAGTTTGATTCTAAACAACGTTTTGCAAAATTTCAATATTGTGAATTTGTAGATACCCATTTATCTTAAGAAACAGAATTTTATGACTTGCACTTGAAAAATAATGAATACTCCAGTTTTGATTTTGACAATAACACCATACAGATTGCAATTTGCTGGAGGCTTTTTCGCAGATTTCATTTTTAATTTAAATACTATCACATACTATAAGAAATAAACAAATTTAAAGCTAAAAAGTAACAAAAAATTCTAATTGTAATTGATACAAATTAAAATGTAAACAATGAACACGAACGCCAATGTTGCCAAATGATGAACTGATTTTGTCTCTGACTGATTTTAAAACTAAAATTAATAAATGAACTGATATTTAAAAAAAAATCAATATAATAAATCGATTTTATAAAAAAATCCTTAAATAAATAGTATGATTACATATTACTAGACACAAATTTTGATTCTTAAATAAAAGGTCTTATCCATTTCTTCAAAAACTAAAATCCGACGACGTAACGAAATTTTGCTGCTTCTGGCAACACTGAACGTCATCCTACTTATAGGGACCTTTTACTAATTTCCTCCAGAGGGCGTATCACTTAGCTTGAATCGCGAATAGGTGCCAGTGGGAAATTCTTGTATATTTAAGGGGGTAGCGACATAGTCTTGCAACTTGGACACTATTTTTATTCGAAGTAGTACTCGCCAAGCTTGCCAATTTATGAAAAAATGTATAGGTGGGTTTTTTAAATATTATTTTTATTGTGTTTGACATAAAATATTTAAATGTATTCCATTATTCACGATTTTACGTAAAGTAGATAGAATACACCATATGTCGCCACCCTTAGATATACCAAACCAAACCAAACTGGTAATTCATTTGTTTGGAATGCCTAATTACAGTCGCAGAAACCAAATTATGTCTTGTTTACCTACGTCGCTTAGTAACGACATGGTCACGTCACTGGCGTACAATAATTATTGCCATTTATTTATTTGTTAGCGACGTTAGCGTTTGACATTTAAGGTTATTTTTTTGGAATCGACTATTTGTTATATATTTTTGATTTTCGATTATTTTAAGACGTTTGCAAGTGAGTGTTGTGTGTTTTATTTAATCTAAAACCATGCCTCCTAAAAAGCTTGTTGGTTTAAAAGGAAAAATTATCCACAGTCAAGGTCGGCAGATTATAAAAAATGTCGCATTTTTTATGGATTCCGAAGCTGAAGATGGAATTCAAATTCCTTTACAAAATCATCGGTAAGTAGAATAAAAAAGTATAATACCTATGTAATAATATAATTTATTATTCCTAACCGGATCAGTCAGAATTAACAAGTATTCTTTGGCGAATTTATATACTTTAGTAATAGACTAGATATTGTCTTTCGGGATTTATTATACGCCGACACTCGAACGGCGGATATAACTATTGAAATGTTATAACGAGTTTCTAGACACTTTTAAACATACTATACATAACAATTTTGGGTCCGCTAACACTTATTTACAAAAAAATGTTTACCTTAAAATCCTTAAAATTTGTTGTCGGGTCTCCATCATAAAACAAATGTGAAATAAACCATTTTCACTGATTTCTTGTTGTAGAAACGGCTAAATATCAATATAAGACCATTCATAGAGCAATAAACCGTACCAAATTTTTTCATAAACGATCAAATTTTCTTATTTTTCATTTTTAGTTTGTTAGAAAAACAAATAAACATTAAATTATTTTCAATGACAATTAATGTGTCTAGTTTCTATAAATGCGATGTTGCCAAATCGAGTAAGAAAACATATAAGTCGGGAAATAATTCGGTTAGTGAAAGTTGGCTGAAAAATTATATAGTGTCTGGCCAGCAGGTAAATTTGAATCTCGAAGTGAAAACATTTGTAGTAATCACAGACAACCGTCTTTTTATTTCATTTAATTACGGCATGTCGGTACTTATCTAATATTTAACAAAAAAAGTTGGGATCGAAGTTCACTGGCCAGACGCTAATGAGGGTTGGTAAGGTTAGGTTTTTTCAATTTGAGCTGTGTCCAGGCCGTTAGAGTCTATGCTGGTCGGCGTAGCCAGGCATCGGTTAAAATTAAAATTAAAATCGTTGCTTCTTCTTCTTATTGTATATTGTTAGTTTAGGTTAGGGTAGGTCGTCAAAGAGTACTCTGCCGATGAGGGTGAGGAAGAAGATCTTGATATGAGTATTATTTAAAATGTTAGTTTTATATAATTTTTCTGATACTGAAGTCAATTAGTTGGCCTGGTACAACGCAGAGCATAGGTAAAAATAACCATTGCTATGTAATAGATAATTGATATGGCAACATTGTATTTCTTTTAGACATATGTCACACTGCAAATCTTAATTGTCATAGTCTTTACGAAAATTAAAAAATTCCGATGAACCTAAACATGGGCTTAAATTAAAAAAAATAAACTGTTTACGAAAAAATTTGGATGGTTTATTGCATTATGAATGGTCTTAGTGTTATTATTTAGCAGTTTCTATAACAAGAAATTAATCAAAATGATGTAGTTCAAATTTTTTCAACATCGAAATTGGAGGACATATTTTAATAGTTTTAAGGTAAGAAAAAAATATTTTGTAGCGTTTGCAGGGCAAAAAAAGTATTTTGAAATGTGTTTCAGAAGGTCTAAAATTGTTAAAAAAAAAAAATTGCCCGTTCGACCGTCGGCGGATTTTTCCAAATTAGCCAGGAAAAAATTTTCTGAAGTTTCTGATCAAGAATGGTTTTCTATTTGCGAACATGTAAATAAATGCGAATCTGAATGGATTAAAAAAGAACACATTCTGGATGATGCTGTAGATTCGCTCGTGTTTACTGTAAATACAAAATCGTCTGATGAATCTATTTCAGAGGACGATTGCAGCAGTGACAGCGGTAGGAGTATTATAGAATTGTTTAGTGACTCTGAAAGCGATTAATAATACAGGCCTATAAGAAATATTTTTTTCCAACATACCTACCTAGATTCTAGGCAAACATATTTTAGTCCATTTTTATCTAAAAAACATTTATAACCCAAGATTTTAAAGGAAATTTAATATACTTTTTATTGTATGAAGCAATGCCTGCACCTACCTCTACTCAATAAGCAAAAAAGTAAAAAAAAAATTATTTTTTGCGTATTAAATTCTTTTTTTATAAAAAAATTTAAATAAATAATTTGATGTGTAATAATTGTATTATTATAATTATATTAACTGTATGAATTTTGCCTCGCTCAGAAAGCAATTGATCTGCTATTTAATTATTTTTTCTTATAATTACATTTACAAAAAATTTCGTATTAACTATGTATATTGTTTCGTTTCCGAGATATAAAAAAAACTCTAAGGGTTGAATTTTCACCCCTATCTCCAATTTCCACCCGCTAATTCAATAGCACATTTATTAACCATTTGAATGATTTTTTTCATAAAAACCCATAAAAGTGATAATTCCTATCTATATTACATATTCAATAGAGTCTATAAGGGATTTACAAATTGCATTTTTTTTATTTCATAATTTCTTGCATTAAAACTGAAGAAAATGACAACACCATTTTCATATTTATATTTATTTAAGAATTAAATTTTAAATGGTTACTCTACTGATTTGAAGTCAAACATCAAATGCGCTAGTTCAGTGTGATGTCATTTTGGTTCCACTGACATTTAATTCTAACCAAACTTTTAACAAAAACATCAATACATTTGACATACCTATATGTTTTTTCTGTTTTAAGTCTATTTGTAAATATTGTTTACAGGTCATAAAAAATAGTTTAAAGATATGTAATTTGTAACTAAACGATTGTATATTTGATGCATGTTATCTACTTACTTTAGGAATATATTTATAAAAGTAAAAAAACGATATAATTTAGGTAAACAAAACGAACAAAACGCACTCAAAAAATCTACTGTCACTTACATACTAGCGCCACATACTTTGATGTAATCAAAGTATGTGACTAGCGCATTTATAATGTGGCGCTGGTTATGACGACACGTTCGCGCATACAACTGCAACTTCAGGTGTATTCTTCTCTCGTGAAACAGATTCTAAAACTGAAGCTCTCTTAAGCCGGGATCCAACGGTACGTGGAATGGCAATCCTGGGTTGTGAGTTGAGTCTCAAGGGACGCACCGTTCCCACGGCGCATGAAGATCGCGCAGACGTGGACACGCGTCTATTGCAGTCTGTTTTACAAGGGCAGTGTTTTTTTTTTTTTTGTAGTAATGGGATGGCATCAGACATGCAAGTCTATTTACCACAGAAAGTTTAAACTTAATAATTTTCATATATATTTTAGTATTTTGAGTAAATTTAATAATAGCGTCAAAAATAATCTTATCCGATTGAACTAACAGTGAAGAAATATTGAGTGGAAGTGGGAGTAAAAGTTTATTTAAATCTTGATATAATACGGTGGTATGTTGAGCATTTTTATTACAATCTAAAAATAAATGATTGATATCTGCTACAGCGTTTATATTGCAATATGGACAAAAGGGAGAATCCAATATTCCAATTTTATATAAATGTGCAGGGAATCGGCCGTGATTGAGCTTCAAACGAGTAATTATAGATGACTGATATTTATTATAGTTCCATGAACTGATGTAAGGAATATTCTTGGGAAGATTTTATAATTTGGTTTAATTGCGTATTGTTGCTACCTCAGCCTTTTTTACAGGATGGCAAGAGGACAAAAAATAAAACGAAAACAAAGAAGATGGCGAAGAGTGTCTTTGTATAGAAATCAAGATAAGTAAGTACATTATAGAATATTTTGCAACAAGTGTTGAAATTGATTTCCACACGCTGTATACACTATAATTTTTCTACGACTGCAACTAATATTAGTTTGTGACTTTTAATTTAGTTTAAAAACAAAACAAAATGGGAGCCTTATTTTACACAAATATGAAAAATGTTTAGAATAATAAACATAGTCTGATAGTCATAAAAAAATAAACCTTGGAATAATTTGTACTTTTAATGTTTTTTGCTGTAAATTATATAGTTTTATTTTAATCATTTGTAGGTACAGTGCCACAGACAGAAGATTTACGCCAAGAACCCTCAGGAATTATGAACTTAGTTCCTGTTTTTATGGTTTGGATCCCGTGTGTTCTAAATAATCGACTCGGCTTCATAGAATAATAAAAATTCTAACACCACTTCGTTAGACCACTGACAGTACCACGCTCCTAGCCGCGTTGTTGGAACCGTAAGCACGTGTTGCGCGCCAACGTCCGCGATCCTTTAAACCGTGTTGATTTACCGACAAACGACGGGACTCATCGCGCCGACCGAAGATTGGCCAGCCTGCCCTATCCAACGGAGCGGGAACTGGCAAGTTTGGCGCGTAGAGTACCACTCCACGTGCCGTTGGATCACGGCTTTAGCGCTCTATGAACTGGCTTTTACAGAATTAAAATATCTCCAAAATATCCGGCCTAGAGTTTTTGTTGGTACACCCTGTATATGTCTTATTGTTTGTTTTTCGTTATATAATTTAATTTTATACCTGTACATATTTGTATATTTTTTGTTTATTTGTACCTACTTCTGTAATCTCACCCTATCCGTACAATGGCAATCTGGCCCTAAATATGTATTTATGAATCAATAAAGAATTTAAATTTGAAGCTCCACCCCTGACCATTTATATTAATATAATTTTATTTTTAGATATAATCTTTCTTAATCCTATTGCACTCATCCCATGATAATGATGATGATAATAATTATCGTAAAAAAATTACTTGAAGTAAAAGATGGCGTCACTTTGTTCCTCATTCTTTTCCATTTTTGGTCTTCTAAATTGAACAAATGTCCCGACAAAGGATTAATTTCTTCATTGAAATAAACGCCATGGTTTACGAAGTGATCAAAATCGCTTACCATTATGTTTTTTATCAGATCCAAATCTACGGGGATGTAAACTGGCCTAAAAAACGAAAAAGCTCCACCGTGTTTCCATCCTTTTCTCTTCAATTCACGGTATAACTTAGCGAACTGATCTCCAACTGATATTTTTTTGCTTAGTAAGTCTTTGGTATTTCCGAAAAAGAAATCTGGTTCTAAATAATTTAAACCTACCCGTTTCCAATAAGAGTATCGCCATTTAAGATAAATATAGCATAAAATAACAATGCAAATTGCAATTAATATGGATATCAAGTAGGACATGATTATTGTATTATGATCACTGTAAACTATTATATAAACGTACAGAAAGTGTAAATTTCATTTTAAATATTTTTTAAACTGCGTAAATAAATTGACTTTATAGACCAGTCAGTTTGTTAACTCGATAATAAACTAGATATATGACTGCGAGTGGATCAGTAGCTAGCTTGTCAACTGACTTCCAGTTACTGGGATCAATGGAGGTATGCTAGGGAATACAGCTAAACTGGTCAATCAATGCTGGCCGGATAAAAAGATCCCTGGACAATAAGGAGTCCACCTTGGGTGGTTTTATCAGAAGCACCTTCTATGTCTATGAAAACACCAAAATATAATACACTCACTAACCAACAGGAATTTTCCACAAATGGTTAGTGGGTGGATACATAACATGCTCTCAAAGCGAGCAGTAAACATACGTGTAGAAGATGTAAATATAAGAGGCTTGGTTGCGAGAAGATGTCCACAGGGAGGGGTCCTATTACATCTACTGTGGAATATGGTCCTCGACTACCTCATCAGCCACCTCAATAATAACAGTCACTACACAATAGAATACGCAGATGACCTGGTCATTCTGCAAATAGGGAATTTTGAGAACATAGTCTGCGAAAGAATGCAAGTAGCTCTAAAAATTATAGAACAGTGGTGCAAGGACCATTCACTGTCTATCAATCTTAAGAAGACATAAATGGTCATTTTCACAAGGAAAAGGATCAAAATGGAATTAAAACCTCCACAACTCCTAAACACAAAACTAAACTTTGCAACAGAGGTGAAGTACCTGGGTCTCATCTTTGACAGCAAGTTAACATGGGACTCGCATTTAGAAAACAGAGTTAAAAGAGCATACATTGCTTATGAACAATGCCGCCGAACCGTGGGGCCTGGGGTTTCTCCCCCAGAGTCGTCGCATAGACTTACACGGCTATCATAAGACCTATGCTAACATACGGTGCAGTTGTCTGGGTACCAAAAACTAGAAAATTAGAACAAATTCAAAGAACAGCGTGTCATTCTTAGTTTCACTCCCCTTGATATTTATATCAAGGAGGTTGCTCTGACGACAATGACACGCCTCCGCACAATTGGAATAGAACTTGATATAGGATCTGGTGAGGCAAGACGTCGCTTTTGGCAGGAGGCGCTCGATACGCTCCCACTGCTTCCAGCGAACATGGACTCCATCTCATCGAGATATATCTTCCATGAGCCATATAAAGTTATAATAGAACAAATAGAAGATCCAGGTTCTAAAACAAAACAAGACTCAGGATGTGGAATATACTCCAGATTATTAAACCTAAACATAAAATGGGCTGTGAGCAATAGTGCCAATGTAGTTCAAACAGAGCTAACGGGGATTCTCATAGCAGCAAAAGAAATAACCAGAAACAATATCACTGGAAGGAACATGCTTATCTATACAGATAGCAGACAAGCACTTTTCACCCTGAACTGACCACGAATTTACTCAGGGTTAGTACTGGAATGTCACGAAGCTTTGGCCGAAGTATCAATCGACAATGTGGTCACCTACCTTAAGATGGATCAAAGGTTACGCCACACCGAAAGGTAACCATTTTGCTGATTCACTAGCCAAGAAAACAGCCAACCAAATACTTTTTGGATCTGGCCCTTCTTTTGGCCTAACAAAATCGGTAGTGACAGACCTAATTAAAGAACATTCCCTTGTGGTGTGTGTGTGTGTGTGTGTGTGTGTGTGTGTGTGTGTGTGTGTGTGTGTGTGTGTGTGTGTGTGTGTGTGTGTGTGTGTGTGTGTGTGTGTGTGTGTGTGTGTGTGTGTGTGTGTGTGTGTGTGTGTGTGTGTGTGTGTGTGTGTGTGTGTGTGTGTGTGTGTGTGTGTGTGTGTGTGTGTGTGTGTGTGTGTGTGTGTGTGTGTGTGTGTGTGTGTGTGTGTGTGTGTGTGTGTGTGTGTGTGTGTGTGTGTGTGTGTGTGTGTGTGTGTGTGTGTGTGTGTGTGTGTGTGTGTGTGTGTGTGTGTGTGTGTGTGTGTGTGTGTGTGTGTGTGTGTGTGTGTGTGTGTGTGTGTGTGTGTGTGTGTGTGTGTGTGTGTGTGTGTGTGTGTGTGTGTGTGTGTGTGTGTGTGTGTGTGTGTGTGTGTGTGTGTGTGTGTGTGTGTGTGTGTGTGTGTGTGTGTGTGTGTGTGTGTGTGTGTGTGTGTGTGTGTGTGTGTGTGTGTGTGTGTGTGTGTGTGTGTGTGTGTGTGTGTGTGTGTGTGTGTGTGTGTGTGTGTGTGTGTGTGTGTGTGTGTGTGTGTGTGTGTGTGTGTGTGTGTGTGTGTGTGTGTGTGTGTGTGTGTGTGTGTGTGTGTGTGTGTGTGTGTGTGTGTGTGTGTGTGTGTGTGTGTGTGTGTGTGTGTGTGTGTGTGTGTGTGTGTGTGTGTGTGTGTGTGTGTGTGTGTGTGTGTGTGTGTGTGTGTGTGTGTGTGTGTGTGTGTGTGTGTGTGTGTGTGTGTTTGTGTGTGTGTGTGTGTGTCTGTATGTCGCATAACTCATGAACCGATACACAGAAAAACACCAAATTTTAAACTTAAGCTTTATTCCAGCGTTTTATGAACTGATTAGATTTTGGACAGAGTCGGAACATCTGGGGGGGTACTTTATAGGTGGTCATTTTTATATTTTATGAAATATATCTGTTATTTACGTTTGGAGAAGAAAATTCTTCAAATAAAAGTTACTTATAATATAATTATCTATAATTTTTGTTCTATATAAAATTTTCCTAAAGTGGTTCGTATTCGAGAAATTTGACAAAATGTAAAAAAATATTTTTTTATAAAAATTGTTTAAATAAAAGTTGTTTCTAATATAATTTTATATAATTTTTATCTTATACATAATTTCTCTAAAATGGACCGTATTCGAGATATTTGAGAAAGTGTGTAAAATTCGAATTTTGAAGAAAACTCAAAAATGGATAAAGGAAAAAACATTAAATTTTAAACTTAATTTTTATTTCGGCCTGAGGTGAAATGATTAGATTTTGGACGAAGGCGGAACATTTGGGGGGTACTTTATGAGAGGCCGTTTTTATATTTTATGGAATATATCTGTTATTTATGTTTAGAGAAGAAAATTGTTCAAATAAAAGTTACTTCTAATATTATTATCTATAAAATGGTCCGTATTCGAGAAATTGAACAAAATGTGCAAAATTCTGATTTTTTATGAAAATTGTTGAACTAAAAGTTGTTTGTGATATCGATCTCTATAATTTTTGTTGTTACATGATTTTTCTAAAATGGACCGTAATGGAAAAATTGTAGGAAAAGTGCTAAATTTAAATTTTTCAGTATTTTCATTTTCAATGAATATCTATAGAAAAATGTCTCTAGGTAGATGTATGTGGAAAATGTATATATTTATTTTATCCTTTAATCATTTATGGATGTGCTGCAATAGGTTGTACAAAATAACCGAAAAAAGCCTGTAATAACTAGATAGGAAAGTCATGTGTTGGACACATCAGATTTTTTTTGTCTGCAGCAAAGTGTGGTACGAAAGTCATTGAAATAGAACTGTTATTAGTATTAAAAAACGCACTGTTTTTACAAACGTTACTATGGCACCTACAAAATAAATAAATGAATAATTGCATTGACGTGTGCATTTTAAATCTTGTTGACACGTTGATCTTTTAATACTCCGATATTAATTTATTGAATTTTGAATATCTTGGTAAATTTAATTCGATAATGGGATACACATTTAGTGAGTATGCATATATGCATCTTATGTACGGTCTTGCATCTTGTAATGCTTATGAAGCAAGAAGGTTGTATGAAGAAAGAGATCCTAATCGCAATATTCCAAATGAGAAAACATTTCAGCGACTTGACCAGCGTCTAAGAGAGACTGGTGGGCGATTCCCAGTTAATAATTATTGACTTTCTTTAATAATTTTTAGGAAGTTTTGGGAAAACAAGTACTGATGCTTGTGTGACAATAACAGTAAGTACGGTGCATTTGGAGGAAAATATTTTGGATACTGTAGCTGATACTCCTTCAATAAGTACTCAAAGAATAGCCGTGGACCTTTATGTGTCAAAAATGACAATTTCTGAAGTACCTAAAGAACAGTTGTTATACCCTTACCATCTGCAAAAAGTGCATCAACTACTTCCAGAAGATTTTTCTCGAAGAATCTTGTTTGCAAACCGGCTGTTAGATCAGCAACGAACAAATGGAAACTTCATTAGCACTATTCTTTTTACCGATGAAGCAGGGTTTACCAAATATGGTATTGTAAATTTACATAACTCGCATGTATAGGCTGATTAAAACCTTCATGCTACTTTTGTCCATCATTATCAACATCAGTTTCAATCAATTAATGTTTGGGCAGGAATAATCGGCAATTTTTTGATTGGACCATGCGTATTGCCGCCACGATTAAATACTGAACTTTATTTACAGTTCCTTCAGAACGCTTTTCTGGATTTAATAGAGCATTTGCCACTTGAAACCCGCTGAAGCATGTCTTCTTATATCCAAGTGTCAATATTATGGATTTGATAGAATTTCATTAGGTTTCATAAAAACATACTTAAGTAAACGATCACAGTTAGTTACAGTAAATGGTCAGAAATCAACATCCATTCAAATCAAATCTGATGTACCACAAGGTTCAGTCCTAGGGCCCCTGCTTTTCTTACTCTATACTTCGGATTTCTACAAACACGTAAATAATTGTGCAGTCAAATTTTTTGCTGATGACACTCAGCTGTTCCTCGATTTTTCGCAGAATGAAGTCATTACTGCAGTTGATAAGATTAATCAAGATCTTAAAAAAATTGATAACTATTCGTCTGATCATAACCTTCGCATTAATGCTTCGGAATCCAAACTATTATTATTCTGTAGTAAAAATATTAGACAATATATAAAGAACAATACAACTCTGATGATATCTGGTGAATCTATTCCACATGAAACTGAGTCTATAAATTTAGGGTTATACTTTGACGATCAAATGAGGTTCAGTCAACATGTCAACTATGTGTTACAAAAGTGTTATAGTGGTCTTCGCTTGCTTTATTCTAATAAACACATCCTACAGAACCAATCTATAAAAATAAAACTTTGCCAAAGCCTTGTAATTTCAAAAATATTATATGAAATTGTTGTGTATTA